ACAAACTTGATTGAGTACATGAACATATCACGGTTTTGTCTCCACTTTCGGGCGAATAGTAACTGGCATTCCCTGAGAAGGGAATGGGAGGGGATCTATCGTAATCGGCTCATCGGGCAACACTAGCGACCAATCGTATCTCGTAACAACGTAGTGTACAAAAATGAGAATATTCAGCTTAGCCAGTTGGTATCCTGCACAAAGTCTCGGCCCTCCCCCAAACGGTACAAATGTGTACGGCTGAATGGACTCGTCAAATCTATCCGGATTGAAAGCCATAGGATCTTCAAAACACTCTGGATCGTAATGCGTCCCGTACGCCATCCACAATATCTGCATACAAGTATACAACACAAGAATTATATATTTTTAAGGCAAATACATTCATACTTAGGATTCAATTTTTCAAAATTTTACATACCTTCCACCCTTTAGGAATTGTGTACCCATCATACTCAATATCCTGGATCGCTTTCCTAAACGAACCGAAAATCGGCGGGAAAATCCTCATGCTCTCCCGAGCAACTTTCCACGTGTAGCTCATCGTTTTGGTGTCCTCGTACATGAGAGGCTCTTCCTCTCCTTTCCGGCTCACTCTATCTCTATGCTCTGTTCAACTACAACATAAATGACTTTAGGTAGCACCATTTATTGTAATACTTTACAAATTATTGGTTTATGTATCATATTATTGTAACACTTTTTAAAAGTGTTATAATAATATGATACCGAAACCAATAATTTGTAAAGTATTACCATAGATACTGCTACTTAAAGTCATTTATGTTGTAGTATCATTACATATCAGCTTGCATTTTTTACAATTTCGGCAAAAGGCATTATTAGATTTATATAATCGGGGGAAAAGAGTGCGGTCCCACCAGGTGAACCGCACTATAAGAGGGGTCAGCCTAGTTGCACCATAGTGAAAGGTTCCATCCCAAAACTAATTGGTGATGGGAGGAGCAGCCCACTAGACTCATTTTTCTTATAGAATCAATGTGGGACAACTCACAAGTGATATTCAACCAGCCATTAATTTACCTTTCTCGAGGATCGAATAGCAGTCGGGATGGCGAGCCATCATCCTGAACGTCATGGCAATGGCAAACGACATGGTGTCGTGAGCCGCAAACACGAGCAAGACCACATTATCCACAACTTCCTCCTCGCTAATCTCTCCCCGAACAAGCCCTTCGACCAACCGCGACATCAAAACCCTTTCAATACTTCCCCCCCTCTCAATCTCCTCCCGCCTCTTCCTTATCTCTCTCAATAACTCCCGCTCGATTTCCCGCTGGGCCCCACTGGCCCGCCCGAACTTGGACCACGGAAAACCCACGGCTGCCGAAAACACCCCTTCCAGCACGCGCTCGAATGTCCCCAGCATCCCGGGCCGGGCCTTTATCCCCAGCAGGCACTCGAGCACGATCGCGAACGTCAGGGCCCGCGTCAGCCCGTACAGGCCCACGGTTGTTTCTTCTCGGTTGTGTTTCTTAAAGTGGACCCGGACGGTGGCCCATATCTTGGGGAAGAGGGTGTCCAGGCCCGACGGGCCCAGGCTGGCGGATATGATGGAGGTAGTGTAAAGAAATTAAGAAGACAAAAATCTCTTCAACTACTGTTTGAATTGCAGCAAAAGCAGGTAGTGTAGACTTACATAGTGTATATTTACATGGTAGCCTGGTAGGTATGCATGAGGGGATAATGTAGGATATTGATGTTTAGCAACAATTGGGTCAACTCGTGAAAACGTGAGATAAAAGTCGGCCGGCAATGGGATCATATGACATCCCATAATAATATTATTTTTATGTTTCATAATCTGCATTAAAATCTATTAAAATTACATAAATAAATAAAAGTCGGTTAGTTATACAGATAGTTATTGTATGGAAATGCATGTGCTGCCTAATTCATAGTCCTCTTGCAATAACAGTGTGATGGCACAAAGCTTAATAATAAACCTCTACTGTGTTGGGATCAAAAGAAAAGCGCAAAAGGGGAAAAAAAAAATTAAAGGGAAGGATTTGTGGGCAGCAAGTTACAAGTCAAATGAGGATAGGAAAAAAAAAAGGAAGGATTTGACATTTGAAGATTTGTACCGGAAAAAAAAAAATGAGGATAGGAAACTATTAATCAAACAGCGTATCCCTTGATATCTGCTTTGACTAATAATATTCAAATCTTGAGCTGTAATAAATTGTAGTGAAAGTCAAACCGTGGCATAAACTTCAAATGGCCACCTACCTAGGGCTGCAACTAGATGTGTAAACTTCAGCTCAAGCTTTTGATACTCGAGTTCTTAGTCTTTATTAAGCCAAACCAAGCTTGTTATTTTATTTAACGAGCTGATGATCAAGTTTGAATTCATATCCCTTCAATATTAACGAGTCAAACTAATGTTAAAGTTCAAAAAAAAAAAAATACTCTCGAGCCTTAACGAGTTACAACGAGCTTGTCTATTTAACTTAATAAACTTTAATTGGGCTGGAGCTCGAGCCTTAAACCTATAAGTTGCTTGTTTCGTTTAAGCTATAATTATCCTCTCAAGGGTATAAATTGGTTGAAGTAAAAAAATTCTAATGTGGTATACTTTTAAGGGAAATTTTTATGCTTCCCACACGATTGGGAAGATATTATATAATTATCATTCATAACAAATTAATTATGTATATACCTAATGAATAATAATTAATTACATTCATGCCTGAAATCAGTTACAGATTGGTGCAACCTCCATTCCTTATTTTTTGCCCATGATTTCCGGAAGTTTAGCCAAAAAAAAGTCATGCTCACTTTGGAATGTAAATAGAAACAAGATAACTGCGCCATTTTTTTTTCTAAATTTATACCTAATACAAATCTTGAATTTGTAGTCACGATTGTAGAGTATATATAGTCACAGTGGACTATATATATATATTTAACATATACATATAGTCACAGTCGAGTATATATATATATATATATATATATATATATATATATATATTTAACATATACTGTACATATACGGATCATATATTGTACAAATACCACAACACAACACGAGCGTAGATATACGGATCATATATTGTACATATACGGATCATATACAATACAGTATAATCAAACGATGTATTGTATGCTAAAAAAAAAGAACTCTCCTTCTTTTTTGCCCGCGCGTGCTAAAAACAATGCTTTCATGGAAATTAATTCTTCTCGATGTTTTTTGATTTACCATTCATTGATTATTTTCAGAGTATATTGCGTTTATAACCATTATATTTCATTATATTGTACCGAAAAAAAACTATATTTCAATATATTTTCAGTGTATGTTGCTTGTAAATATGATGAATTCTCGCTGTAAATAAAAATGATGAGTTCTTGTTGTAAATAAAAATGAAACAAAAAAAATTAATATAAATATCGAAAAATCAAACAACATAAACTAATATATCTCAAATAAACTATAAATATACATCAAATAAAACATTGAAAAACAGTATATTTTACATTCATCATCGGCCAGGATGTCGTGGTGGCTACGAGGCTCGGGGGGACGCGATTCATATACTGTACATATACTCCAATCCAAAATCATCCTCCAACCACGTGTTCGTCGTCGAGTTAGACACCTCCAGGACTTCGAGTTCAACGACGTCAACGACAACCACGTCGTTGTACTTCGCCTGGAGTTCGAAGATCGATCTCAATCTCATCAAGTCCAGCAAACCGATCGTGGCGGTGATCGACTACGATTCCGGCACGAATCTCGTCAACATCACCCTGTCAACCCCTATCCCTTCTCCTCTCTGACAGAATAGATCTGTCTCCGATTCTACACGAAACTATGTTCGTCAGATTTTTGAGGCGTTGATCTCAATCTCAAGTCCGGTAAACCGATCGTGGTGTGGATCGACTATGATTAGGGTCGCTGATCGGGTGCTCCTGTTCGAACGACTGCGGCGTTGCGTGGGCTGCTGCTCCCTGGCCGAAGTACGGGACCGCTGCCGAACGGCTGAAGGAATTTCGAGGGCTAAGAAATATTTTTTTTTTAAGTTTCTGAAGGTCTGATCGAACGAAAGAAAAAAAATGGAGTTTGAGGTCAATAAATATAATAAAGACTTTTTTTTTTCATCCTATCTACGAAACCGTGCAGGGTGGTGAATACCAAGAAAAATCAGCAGCTTCATTCTCTCTCTATAAAAGAAGATTTGATTTTTCTTTTACTTCACAAGAAAAGATTTGAACTTTGACAAAACCCAATAGGCCAAGAAAATTGCCCAGACGAAAGGGCTGCTTTTCTGCACACACGTCCCTTCGTCCAGAAGCATCGAGGATCATCCCTGCTTGTCGGCGTCTTAGAGATAGATAGGGCAGCGTGTGAACAAGGGAAAGAGGGGGGAGAGGAGAGAGACGTAATTGATGGGAAGTAATTGATGAGAAGTTATCATGTAAATAGGAAACCAACTTTTTAGGCATATATGCAAATAAATATAACAAATTTAATTAATTTGTAAATAATTATATAAGAGATGTAATTATGTAATATTTTCAGATTGTTTAAGTGGAGAATGTAATTTCCTCTACTTTTAATTCTCAAGTGTTAGTTCTATAAAATCTACTTGGGATTTTGAAAAGTGAGATATATTCCTTAGGTGATTCTTTTATGATTAAAAAAAAATTGGTTGACCAAGTAGTTAGGCACGTAAATATCTCAAACACACATTATGATCTGCTCTGGTTATTTAAAAAGCATGTCAACATTGTCCGGATTTTTTTTAAGCTTTTCAACCATGAATAGTATATATGCAAATATATATAATTGTCCTTATTTCGGTATTCATTTCAAAGCTTTGAGAGTGTGCCAATAATGCTCAGAAGCTCATAAGATCGCCTGCACCGTCCAAATCCTTTAAATTATCTGATTCTATAATGGATGGATATATACCTTATAACAAAGTCAATTTTACTGCCATAGTGAGCAGAAAATGAATAATATCTCACTCCTATATTTTTTCCTATAACTCTCTCTCTCAAAAAAAATAAATAAATAAATAAATAAATAAATAAAATAAAATAATAAATAAATAAATAAAAAATCAATAGTCTTGTTTGATAAAGTTCTTTTTCACGTATTATGNAACAAAAAGATACATATTGTTTATTACCTACCAGTGAATATGTGTTTTTATATTATAACTAATTATGCATTAATATTTAATCATACAACATTTCGATTCATTTCAATTAATTACTCCCTGGTCTCATTGTTTAGAATCTTCTTCTGTCATTAAAATAAGATCTCACATATTTCGCAAAAATAAAAAATAAGATCTCACATAAACCAAGACAGGTGACAATTTGCCATGCTGCCCTTTTGTAACCAAAGAAAAATCAAACTGGTTGTACCGTTGTACAACCCAAACTAGCTAAAAATTATGTTGGACTAGAAACACGTTTGGCATAAGGATCTGAAAAATGTAGAAAATTAATACCAATGGTCTTCTACATTTCTCCTTAATAAGTCCTCTATACGTAGTAATAATATTCTAATGATCCAGCTACTGAGATCAAATTTCATTTGTGAATTAAATAATATCATTTTCGAGATAAAAAAGTCCTTTCAAAATGTCTCTGAACTAGTTCTGAGATCCATGCAAGGATGTGATGAACAAAATAGTGATTGCCTTCTTTTAATTCAATATTCAATCGCTAAATAAAGATGTTGCAAAAGAATCATTGTACAATCACTAAATAAAGAACTTAAACCACTAATCATTTTCCAGTAAGACTCAGGAAACCATAAAATTAAACATAACTGCATCATCAATTGGTGGATAAAAAAAAATCTAAAAGCATTTAATTATCAAATACAACAAGTTTTACACACTTGCAAACACATGGTACAACATTGATGGGGATAAGAAGCAAATTACATTAATATCCCTGAACTATATGGCCTTCTGTACTTTGCTCAGTAATTTTTTTTTTTTTTTTNGAGTTTTATTTTCCTTTTGATGATAGAATGAGACATGGCTCGGGGACAAAGTGCGAAAAGTGCAAATACTCTATATTTCAGGGAGGCTTATTGTAATTTGCTCGGAAGAAAATGACTTATCAAAATTTCCTTTGGACTGGTTTGGCCATTTTGGTCATGGGCAACGGTGGTGAAGAAGAAGAAGAAGAAGAAGCTAATCCAGAAGTCACATGCGGCTTCCCAATGCGAGAAACACTGTATATGCAAAAGATGGATCGATTAGAGATAGTAATTACAGAGATAAATTGACATCTTTGTCTGCTTAGTCCAACCATTACCTTTGATTCTTGCACACCGCCTTATTTTTCATAACCGCTGTATTATTCACTCCTAATCCAGAAGTCACATGTGGCTTCCCAATGGAAGAAACACTGAATATTCAAATATATGGATTGGTAGGAAATGGTAGTTATAGAGATGAAATGAAATCTTTGAAATCTCTGTATGGTTATCCTAATCATTACCTTTGATATTTATGAACCACCTTATTCTTCATAGCAGCTATATTTTTCACTTCTCGGCTGAAAGCAAAAGATGTAATAATAAGTTCAAGGACTAAATTGCAAGCATATATTTCAGGAGAAGAATTGACATAACACACACACACACACACACACACACACATATAGGAAATGGATAAAGTAGAAACTACAACCCCTGCTAAAATTTTGTGTATGTAGTGCTAAAATATACGCAATGCTAAAATACATTACATGTGCTGCTATTATTATGCGTTGATCACACTGCTAAAAGTAATATTATAAACTGCTAAGGTAGCAGTGCTAAAATATACGCAATACTAAAATACGTTACATGTGCTGCTATTATTATGCGTTGATCACACTGCTAAAAGTAATATTATAAACTGCTAAGGTAGCAGTATGTTCAATGTATTGTATTTTAGCACGGTTCTTAGTTCCTTTGCCAAGATCAGATCACCAAATCCACATATATATACACACACACACAAAAACACAGTTTGATCCAAAGCTACAGACTGCTAGAAAAGACGGGATGCACGATACAATGCGTGCATGAAGAGCAAAGTGAAACAAGCAATTCATTGTTGTTCTTTTTTTTTCCATTTGTTTCCAAGCCAATCATATGGGAAATCTTAAAAAAGAATGACCACTATTAATTTGGTTTTTAACATACAGTTTGAGCAAGTCATTCGCTTCAGGTTATGCTCAAAGCTAGAAATAAGATTTAGATAGAATGGCAATGATATGATAGTAGGTATATAACACATTTGTAAAGGTAGCAAAAATTACAAATAACCAACATTCATGAACTCAATGGTTTGCAAGCAAACTACCTGTTAACGAAGTCTAGCTTTGCCTTCTTCATCAAGCCACTTTTTGTGTTGTAAATGTTGCTGGCAATAACACCTGATAATATTTAATGAAAACCATGTTACACCTTTCAAAATAAATTCAAGCAGTTCAAACGGTTTTGCTATGAAGCCAATAGTTGGCTCCATAGAAGAGTCAACTTTCTATATACAACAAATAAACCTACCATATTCTCTGATTACCTAAATAACACTAATATAATTATATTAATATGGTAGGTTTATTTGTTGTATATAGAAGGTTGGCTCCACTATGGAGCCAACTGTTGGCTTCATAGCAAAACCGGCAGTTCAAAACCTACTGAGGATACAAGCCATGAAAAAGCGGATGTACCACCACAAAAGCTTCTTTTCTTGCTGGAAGGTGGGAGCTTTGCACATAGCTGTATTTGACGACTTCGTTTCCCTGTAAAGTTAAGCAGTCAATATAGGTAAGTACTGATAGCACCTAGCACCTAAGACGAAGAAGAAAAAGAAATCATAATTCTTGAATTATAATAAGGACAAGTCCTAATGGAGTATTTATTTCTAAGAGCTTTCATGTTGAGTCCACTAAGGCACTAACATTCATCAAATCCAGAAGCATAACTAAGACCAGATAAAATTTGGTAAATTGGAAGGTGATATCCTGACCGGTACATTTTGGGCGATGGATTACCCGTAAACAGTACTAAACAAAAAAAAGGCATTTATATTCTACAATGGTGAACTGACATTTGGAGTTAAATCACTACTTTGTTAAGTACACGATTAAGGTCAAAGTTAGGCAGATTTCAATATCTTGACCTCATTGGAGGTTGCACCTCCAAAATAGCTAATCCCTTTTCGCTAACCAGGTAACACAAAAATTTACCGACTTTACTCCAAAGGCACACTTAGTCGGCTTGAGCTTCATCACATACGACATGGTGCATGTTTCTGCAGGTTGCTTATATAGTTCTTCGCCTTTTTGCTCTTAACCAATATATCATCTACATATACCTCCATATTTCTCCGGAACATCTTTTCAACCAACATTTGATATGCGCTCCTGCATTATTTAACTTCAATGGTATCATCGCATAGCAATAAATCTCTTTACTCGTTACAAAGCTCACACTTCTCGACTTTGGTGCGAAAGGTATCGTTGCAACGGATCCATCATACTCAACAACAACTCGCACCGAGAAGTAGCAATTGGTAATCATCCTAGGTAAGCTTTATTCAGGTCCCTAAAGTCAATACACATTCTCCATTTTCCCTACCTCACCATAACGTTGATAACCATTTATGGAACTGAAGTTACCCTAATGTCCCCATCCTTTAGTAACTTAGCCACCTCTTTCTCGATTACCTCGTCCAGCTCACCACCATGACGCCACCGCTTCCGCTCCCATTTATTTACGGCTTCACTTCCTCATCGATGCTAAGTTTATGCATGTAAGTTAGACCCTATAAGCTCCTTCGTAATAAACACGAAAATATCTATAAACTCTTGCAATAGATTGCTTCTTTAAAAGTTCTCCTAAATACCTATAGGTAGTATGCCCATCCACCCTCTCTATCAATTAAACTTCCATCAACTCACCATACGGGTCGAGGTCTCCAAGCTTGCTTTTTCTATTCTTGTCGAAATGGTTCTCTTGTTGCGCATTTTCCTCCTTATTGCCCATCCATGTCATCTATAACAAGATCTAGCCACCAACTGGTTTCCCTCTAGGCAGAAATCGGCCTCAACCACCATGAATCGAACCATCTTGTAGGTCCCTCCTCAAGAACTTCTAAAAGAACAACTTTTTCCATTGGCACGACTTCGAATTGTTAAACCCAATGCAAAGCATCTTTCGGACCTCTATCCCCAAGCCCATTTGCTTAAAACAATAATAAAACATAATATCACCCCAGCAGTCCGTATCAATGAACACAACCTCATACCCAGCATTTTCCATTGAGATTGCCAAAGTGTCATTATGAGGGATGTGCACTCCTCTCACATCCTTCGTGTCTGAAATTAACTAATGGGACAACTTATACTGCATAGATCTCTTTTTTCTCATTTTCTGCAACTCGTGTGAAGCTTACGAGCATTATTAGTCTATTTGTGAGTCCTCATGAGGTCATGTGAATTTCCTTTCTTTCCGGGTCAGATTTCATCCTCATCATAAGGTTGTTGCCTCTTTTCTCCACTATCTTTTTAGGACCTCGCTTACGCTCCTTGCCCATATTCCCAATAAATGCAACAATATAAGTCGAACAATGGTTGAGAAGGTCTTTCTGTCGAGTACTAGACCACGTTACCACATCTTACTTAAGCTTCTTTTCAATTGTTTCGAACACCTATGCCAGATTCAAGTGTTTTATAATTTTAAAAGTCTTAATAGGTATAAATAAAAGTCCAGATCAAGCAAGCAACAGATATGAACACATGGAATTACGAAACACCAAAAGTTGACACATAGACTCGAAAAACTCTACATTTATATATGCATTTATATATAGGGAGGGGTTACGTTTTCTGGTTGCTTTTTAAAATTAGTCTATTATATAGAGTCCAAATTAACTACATGTATTGAAACCTTTTCGGTCAGATTTTTTCTTAACTTCTCTTCGAATTCAGGACCTCTCTTCAATATACATTTTGTTAACGATTGAGTGATGTCAAAAATCCATTAGCTATTTGGGTCTACTAGATATGTGTTTCTTGAGCACACGCAGGTATGAGATGGCAAAACATGGAATAAGTTTCAATAATTAATTACTTTCAAGTTCTAGATCCTATTAGTAGATCACTCTATCAAAACATTGAGACATTTTGCTTAGTCAAAATTGAAGATGGGACAAGCACATTATTAGCAAAGAAGTTCTCAAATTCCATGCCACCAAACACCAGGAATTGAATAAGTTAATATCATAGGAAAGTGTTGTTACGAACCTTAGGGTTTTGGATGAATGAATTATTTACAAGTGAGGATGCCCATATACAGACTTAGGACCTTCAGATATATGGACTAGGTCAATAATATAGTTAACACCCCCTTCAAACTCAAGGTGGAGGTGGAGGATCCGAAGCATTGAGTTTGAGCAAGTGAAGTTGATGCTGCTCTCCAGTTTGTGCTTTGGTGAAAAAAACAGCCGCTTGCAGTTTTGACGGCACGACACATACTCAAGAACAATTGTTTTCTGATGACAATGAGATCGGGTAAAGGAAGCATCAACACAAATGTGTTTTGTAAGTTCATGCTTTACTGGATCATTGGCAATTTGGATTGCTCCAGTATTATCACAAAGAAGAGGCATAAGATCATCAGTATGAATACCAAAATCGGCTAACAACCATCAAAGCCATATAATTTCTGAGGTGGTAGTAGCAAGTGCTCGAAGTTCTGCCTCTATCGAGATACAACTGCATGCTTTTTGGACACAAAAAATGCAATAACCAGTCGTTACGACGATCAATTGGATTACTCGCTCAAGTAGAGTCCGAGTAAGCATGAAGCTGAAGCGGACTATCACGAGCATATAATACGCTTTAGGATGATGTTCCCCTTAAGTATTGTAGCACGTCCAAAAGGAACCGAAGTAGGAGCATTCACAAACTGACTCAAGCCTTGATAAACGAGATTGCATACAATATGTCGATAGCGAGAGGGATCCTTAAGAGGCGTACCATCAGTGGGAGTGGGACGAAGTTGTAAGTGGAGATCCATAGGTGTTACCGATGTCCGATTATCAGTAATACCGAAACGAACAAGAAGGTCTTGTATGTATTTGAATTGAGAAAGGTAATAGCCCGAGGCATAATGCATCACCTGCCCAAAAAGTAGCTAAGAGGACCCAAACCGGACATCTGAAATTGTTGACCAAGTTGCTTCTTGACATGAGAAATATGTTCTGCATCATCTCTTGTAATCAACATATCATCAAGAAGTAGAGTACGCCCACGTGGAGAGAGATGAATAAACAAAGCAGGATCATAATCACCAACCAACAGTCCGTATGACAGAGACAAAACGCTCACACCAAGCATGAGGAGCCTGTTTGAGACCATATAATGCACGACGAAGACAACAAACATGTACAAAGGGGGCATCAACACATGGTGGTGGCTGCATATAAACTTCATGCAGATCACCAAAGGAAGCATTCTTTACATCCATCTGAGCTATGGTCCAAGAACGAGTAGCAGCCACTGCAATCAAAGTACGAACAGTAGTAGTCATGTGAGCAACGAGAGCAAAAGTCTCATCACCCTTGAGTCTGTTGAAAGCCTCTAGTAACAAAAAGAGCTTTATATCTCTCAATGGAACCATCCGAATTCGTCTTAATCTTAAAGACGCACTTACAAATGATAGGCATGGCATGCGATGGTAATGGAACAAGATCCTAGTATGATCAAGTGCAGCAAGTTCCTCTGACATAACCAGTTGCCACTCCGGAATACTCAAAGCTTTTTGAAAGGTTAAGGGCTCATCAATAATAACACCCGCATGTGGAAAGCCCATTTATTAAGAGGCTCAATAGTAGCACGATCACGTAAATTATATCACTGACCATCAAGAGTAATATTAATAGCAATTTCGTGAAGTCTGTCTCGAAGCGGCGATTTGACTAGTGTAGGAGGTGAGATTGGAGATTGAAAAAAAAAAAAACAAAACAAAACAAAAAAAAAAGTATTATTTGTAAGGCTCTGATACCATGTTACGAACCTTAGGGTTTTGGACGAATGAATGATTCACAAATAAGAATGCCCATATATCTAAACTTAGGGCCATAAGTATATATGGGTTGGGCTTATAAAATAGTTAACAAGTGCATCCCTCACCACAATATGGGAAGTTATTTCTAGTCTAAAGCTTTATACGTACTTTATTTATGCTTCTCTAATATCACACATTTGTTTACTAAGTTATGATTTAATGTTTTGATTTTATCAGTTACTTTGGGTAAAGTTTGACTTGGATATAATTAATCATAACCATATGGTGTGAGTTATACAAATATATAGATTCCAATAGAGCGACTATTTTTAGATGTAAATGTAGTACAGAGGTTGCCGAACAGACCTACATTTGACTTTGGGGGCTCGAGTGGGCCATAAGGCTCCACCCTTTGATCATTTAGCTCCTGGCCAGCTGCCCCAAGTCCCCATGCACTACTAGTGTCAGACCAGGATACTCAATAGCATGTATTTTGAAGTACTTACATGTGTGTGTGTGAGAGAAACATGCATTAAAATAGAAATCACCTTAAATTGATTTGGTGAGATTCATCATATCACTGAGTGTTTGCTTATAGTATTACAGTATGCTCATCATAGAGGATCATAAGGCAAGTATTTGCCTAAAATGATATTGCTAGTAGAGCAATATCCCATGAAATAATGTTACACAATTTCCATGGGTTTGGAATTTAATTAAAACTACTTATACTTATATGTTTCCTGAAAAGCACATGATATAATTGTTTATATGCAAAAGATTATACGTGAGGTTTATAAGTGGACATCCAAGATGTGGAAGCATCCCATGGAAAACTTTTGATTCACATTTCACTTATCATAAACGATTTCATGATCTCAAATTTTGTATCCAAAAATCCAATAGGTCTAATAAAATTGTCTACGTATATTATGCAATGTTGTGCAAAAACAATTTAGAACATGATGGCTAATACAAAAATTCAACTCTTAATGATAGAACACAAATATTCTTATATTACTCTATATCAACGTAAAGTATATTTATATGCTTGTAATACATAAAATCATATCTCTATAATAAGATATAAATAAATATATAAAGATCAAGTCCATAAATGTTAAAATATTTCCCACCTGTTCTTAGGCAGCTAAAAATATGATAACAAACATGCTAACGTACTTATGAGTACATTGGTGGTCAGTAACAAGTACATTGATGCCACATTGAGCCTGCTGAAAGAGGATAATCAACTTAATAGCAAATCAGTTAGTAAAAGAATATCCCATTCTCATACTACTGGATTAAGGCCATCTCAGACTCATGCAGCGAGAAGTTAATCCATAAAATAACCCTACCGTAGAAATAAATAAATACGACAAGGAAAAAAGGTCTAGGTACATCCACTTCCTAATGAACAATGCACAGCCATCAACATAAAAAACTGAGATTTTGAAGTCAATCAATATCCTTCCTTTCACTTATTATTTTATACACTCAATAGCATTTTTCTTTTCTAGGTGAACCATGTATGCAGCATGCGTACCAAAGAGTTGGCATGCCGACCAAATTGAAAGAAATAAAAGTCTACTTACTAGCATCTTCTTCTTCATAACGTTGCTTCATTCGATCAACTAATTGTTGTGTTGCCTCTTCCCTCTCTTGTAACTTAGCCTGTTGTACGGTAATATAGAGCTAAAATAACACCAAAACGTGGGGGTGAATCTATCATTAAGTTGCCATGCATTACAGTAAATACCTCATACAATTGTCTCCATGTGTAGGTCTTCTTACTCTTTCTCAACCTCTGATCAACAAGATTGGCGCTATCAGCACCAAAATCACGACCGTAAAATCTCTTCCAGAGTATATCAGTTACAGGACTTAGATCTCTACCCTGTAACAAGACCAAAACAGTTTAGACCACCTGATAAATACAAACAGATCAAGGAATTGTTTTAAAATACAAGGGATGGTATCAAAGTCTTACTTCTGTACAATCCTCAACGTGCTTCAACCGATCGAGTGTACAGTGGCTTAAAATGCGATCCAAGAGGTGGTTGTCCACTGTCCCAACATTTCCTAGGTACCTAACGTTATCTATCGCCAACCGTACACACAAGTCGACCAATGAGGGTGGTTTTCTCATCATGGAAACTAATGTCCCCTTGCACCTCTGCAAAAACAAGATTAAGAAAAATCATNTTAAGAAAAAAAAAAAAAAATGGCACACAAAAGAACTCATCTCCAGTTCTAAGTTATGTGTCTATAAGACTGGTTATTCTCACAAATATACAGTTGAAACAATACAAAAAATGAAAATTATAGTGACCCAAAAGCTTAAAACCTCTTAAGCCCACCACCTAATTACTCAATTCATTGCTATCATATACACAAAGAGGAAAGCACAATCAATTATGATCGCCGGGTACCAGAGAACCAACAAAAGTAACAAGGAAAAGCACATCAGTAATTGATTTTGAAGACATATGCATCGATTTTCAAGGATCACATCCCAATAAGCACAATCGATTGGTTAAAATTGCACAGAACGAATAATTAATAACAAGATTGACAAAAATCAGCTGGGACGAAGGCAGGGTAGGGAGTATACCCTGGAAGAGAGGAGATCGGAGCTGGAGAACTGAGGAGAGTTGATGACGTCACCGGTGTCGATGGTGATTGCATACGCGGTGGCTGTTGAAATCAGGTAGAATTCTTGCAGGTTTATATTTCCTTACAGATATTGGTTATTTTGTTTTAATTTTTTTTTTTCTTTTTGTTTCATTTTATCTCATTTTTAGGTGCTTTAATGATAAATACTCGTGCCATGCACGAAATGATATATTTTTCTAGAATGATTGATATGTGTAATATTACAATAATCGAGTGTTTATATATGTAACAAAAATAAACGGGTCGTAAATAATATAAAAGATTTATATATTATTGAAAGCATCTTTGTACACAACGTTGTTGGTTTGATTTGTTTGCGAATTATTGTCACTACAAACTATTATTTTCAAACCACTTCAGTTGGTGACATGGAAGACATCAACGTATAAATGACCATGACTGGCGATTGTCCTTGACATTTGTTTACAGTCATGACATAAGAAACCATAATGAGAAATTGTCACTGCTGGAACTTGAAAGAAATTTTGACATCGAAAGAAGTTATAGACATTATTGGAAGCAACACCTTCTCGTCTGCGTGATCTCTAGTCAATATCTTACACTCGAGAACATGAGTGAAGAGTTTTGTCACAACCAACCTTGTCCCATTACATAGACCCATGAATGATCCATGTTCTGCAACAACATGACGGGAGTTCCAATTTTCAAATGCAAAAGATGATTTGGAATTCCTGAATATTTGAATTATCCAAAAACTCCGACGTGTGGAGATCAGACAAAAAATTGTTATTAGAGTCTGACTTACATGTACTCTCGAAACTTAAGTACGTATGACCACCATCAGACAAATTCAACAATGTCATGTACTCATTTATATACTCAACAACATCTAATGTTGGTGCTAATATATCCATGTCCTTCTTCATAGAAGACAATCTCCAAAAAGTTCTTTTATTATGCATTGAATTTCCTCTCAAACACCCTGCCCTCAATGTCATATAAGGCTTATTGTTGCGACTTACCCGCTCAAATTGACGCCATTGTTATTTTGTNAAAAAAAAAAAGTGAAGCAAAAGAAAGACGTGTAAAATCTTGAATGTAGTAGTGTTCTAGCGTGTGTTCGAATGGTTTAGTTTTACATCTTTTTTATAGAGCAAAAAAAGTTATAGATGCATAAAATAAAGAATAAAAAAAATGAAGACATGGCCGCAAAAAATGGTAATTTTTTTTTAAAAAAAAAATATTCGATTCATTTAAAATAGAACCGTGACTTTTGCTCCTTCCTCTTTTTGCTCCAATCTCTTACTTTTGTTTTGAGCCCTTTTTGTGTTGCTCTTACCATTGCTTACCATTGGTTCCCTTGGGTTTAATATCTAGTCTACCCCAACTTGCTTGGGACTAAAAGACTATGTTGTTGTTGTTGTATTCGATTCATTTAAAGCCTATAAGATTATTTTTTAAATTGAAAACTGACAGACCAACACTTTTCAATAATCACTGAAAAAACGATGACAATCAGCTAAAAGATTTCATAGTTATATATTTTTGTTATTAAAATTTTCATGCTTTGTTATTTAGCTTGGATAGAAAATATGGTTAAAATTGTCATAAATATACTAGATATTTATGGTCATTTTTCAGAGTACTTACATTTCTTATTGTAAATGTGATTTACAAGGCATATATAAAATTTTATCATTTACTTTCATCTACAAACCAACACATTCCACTAAAAAAACATTTAAAATCGTGTTATTTATCTTCAACGAAAAAGGGGATTTGAGTAGAAGTCGCCTAGGCTGCTTACACCAAGCTTACAAAAATAAGAATGAGATGTAAGGATCAAAACACATAGTTATTTTGATAAAAAATCTTGATCAAAATGTTGATGAACAAAAGTGATACTAATGAACATCCACAGTTATCCTCATGCTGTTGCCCGATTCTCATTCTTGCTTGAAGCCTACCAAAAATCTGCATCCGTCCACGTGATTACTGAACAGTGACTAATAAGCACACTCATCAGCCACAAGAGGTGGGATGAATGAATAACCCTGGAGAGTTTGCTCAAAGATTTGACCTATTTTTAGCAACTTCTCCTGCAGTAGAATTTAGGAATACAACTCATCAAAGGACGAGCAATGGTGAAATCAAGTCCAGGTAAATTCATATAATCATATTCTAACTTTATCCATCTACAATTGTATTTTTCTTAAAGTGTATCATTTATTTGTTTAAGACCAATCCAAAACACACTTTAAGATATTTACATTTTTAATGCCGTGCTTTTGTATTAAAAATGCCGTTCAGCAAAACAAATTTTACATTTCATCTTACCTCATCAAATGCCGCTCCTATCATTTGGAGTCCAACGGGCAGACCAGCAGACCCTACTTCAGCAAGTCCACATGGTAAAACCAGTGCCGGAAGACCCGCCAAGTTCACGTTAACCTGCATCAAGACATAAAATCACGGTCTCAAAGAACCAGTAAATAAAAATTACACAACAGTCAAAAGGAAGGTAAACAAAGACTCACTGTCATTATGTCTCCTGCATACATGGCCAATGGATCATTTTTCTTCTCACCTGGTTATATTACCACTTACACTGGAATCAATATGAACGAACTCAATAAACATGAAAAAAGTGAAAATGTTTAAATGTCGTACCAATCTTATAAGCAACAGAGGGAGCAGCAGGAGATATTAAGATATCATTTTTGTCCAAAGCATCCTTGAAGCTTTTTCGAATTATAGTTCTGACCTGAAATAACATTAACATCATTGTCCATATGTCAGAAAAACAACCCAAACCACAAACATTGAAATTTGGAACACAAAACAAGAAATTACTTCCGAAGTCCAAAGTTGATCAGTTTCATCCCACAAAAAACCCAATATCATAGGGTTTAGATGGATTAATACATAACTGGTGCAGTTATCATTAGTGGATTTGTCGCAATAATGGATAAATACAAATCAGAGGAACCATTGTGAAACCTGCTGGGCACGCTTGTAATATGCATCATAATAACCAGCTGAAAGAGCATAAGTGCCCATTAGAATTCTCATCTTAACCTGTAATGACAAAACAATTGTTGCTCATTACTGGGAAGTTTTCTTCAGCCACAAAAAAGAGGTGGAGAAAAACAATGCTCCCTATAAACAACTTAAGTTTGAAAACCAGAGAATACTGAAAAAAAAAAATATTTCCATCAAAGGTTCTAGAAAACCACACCTCAGAACCAAACCCTAGGGCACGGGAATCCCCATAAAGAGAAATAAGCTCATCACCAAAAATTTGTTTTCCATATCTGCACGAACAAATACATGGCTATAAGTTTAAATGCACATCTATTTATGTTTCCAAGGGAAAAAATAAAAGATTATTCACTGAAGCTGAAATACTTAAATATTTTACACATGCGACTTCAAAAACCCACAATGAACATCAAAACATCCTTGCAAAAAGACTTTATCGATGTGTATGTATTATGTATGCACATGCACATACATTATAAATATTATGCGTTAAAATAAACCATAAGTTGAAAATAACCTGACACCATCATAGCGAGACAAATTCGAAGAGGACTCAGATGACGCAAGGATGTAATATGCTGGCAATCCAAGAGAATATGATGGTAGTGAGACCTGGATAACCAAAACGAATGTGCTATAGAAACTGACATGATACTTAAGTGTTAAAACACTAGGTAATATTAAATGATACCTCTGAAACAGAACATCCAAGTTCTTCCAAATGAGAAACAGCATCACGAAATGTGGATATTACTTCTGAATCAACTCCATCGTCACAGGTTTCACGAATAACACCAACTCTCAGTCCATTCAAGGGTTTAGATGCCAAGTAATCTATTCCAACAAAGTTGGATGCATAGTCTGGGACTTCCTGAAAAGTTCAACTTCCAAAAAGATTATAACTAGTTCCTAACACATGTATTTTCTTTACAGCAAGTTTAATGATATGTAAAGTCTAGCCTTATGGTAATAAACTTGGCCAGGAGTTTCTTTCGATTTTCTCGTATGTAAGAGTCTGGGGCAGGCAACAAATGCTCATCATTACAAAATCACCATTACTTAGAACTCTAGCCGCTAAATTATTTATTAAAATGGATTGAAGCATACTCCTGCCGAAAAAAAAAGGAATAAAATAGCAAATAACTAAATCCTGAAATTACAAAAAAGAACACCAAAACAAAAAAACTGAAAGAAGAACTCAAATAAAATGAAAATAAAACTATAAAAAAGAGAAACGGAAAAGTAAGAAAATCCTTAAAGGACTAATAATATCCTAAAAGAGTTGACAAGCTGAGGGAAAAAAAAAAGAAAAGAAAGAAAGAAAAGAACCAAAGCATGGGCTCTGACAGAAGTCTTTGCCAATTGAATTTGATTATAGCACCAAGGTCAAATGACTTACTCTATTGCTACTTGTTGCATCAAACTTGTCATGCCCCGAGATTGTCTGAAGGAGAATTCCCGCATCAGCAACTGATGAACCAAAGCATCCAATAACATCCAAAGAAGATGCATAAGCCACAAGCCCATATCTTGACACACGTCCATATGTTGGTTTTAGACCAACAACTCCACAGAAAGATGCTGGTTGCCTAACACTTCCACCAGTATCACTGCCCAATGCAGCCATGCATTGTCTAGCACTAACAGCTGAAGCTGATCCCCCAGATGACCCTCCTGGCACCCTCGACAAATCCCATGGATTAGCCGTCACCTAACGAATATGAAGATGTGTCACCTGAGTAAACCATATTCGGTTACATATTGTAATTTGGCTACTTTTCATTCGCCTTTAAACTTATAGTACCTAAAAAGATTTTAAAAACTCAAAACAATTGCACATGATTGGAGCTCCATGTCATTAAGATTTAAATGCCCCATAGTGATTTGATTCCTGAATATCTATTTGGATTGTAAAGGTTACAATTATAGTGGAGCTATGTAAGTCACAATCTGGGTATTTGATTCAACGACATAACGCGCCAATAAGACCACCATCGCAGCATACAATAGCTTTAATTGTCAATTCGGACATTTACATTTTGTAGTTATGACTCATTTTTCTTAAGAATCCAATTCCTTTCGAGGCCCAAGTAATGAACCAGCATCAGGCTGATCAAAACACTGAACTATCGTCTAATGTTCGGCAATATTGCACTTGTGTACTATTTAATTAAAAAGTATTGATTCCAACAAGCATGTGGTATTGCTGTCAATTAATCCTCCTAACACAACACCCCTAAAAATGGCAGCTTCCACTCAACCAAAACTACGGAAGAACATCATTTCGGAGACACATTTTCTGAAAATTACTCTGTGATAGCATCAACTCAATGCAGGAATTTCTACATATACAATTCCACTTTATGTAACCGAAGTAAGTAACTTGATGACAGTAAAAGTTCCTTTTTTTTTAAAAAAAAAACCACTAACTTGATAAGCAGATCCTTCTGTTGTGCTCCCCATACCAAACTCATCCATATTGGTCTTCCCAACAATAATGGCTCCACTATCCCTCAGCTTCGCCACCACTGTAGCATCATAGGGGGGGCGATAATTTTCCAAAAGTCTCGACCCGGCAGTCGAAGGCATATCGTGCGTGCAGATGTTATCCTTAACTCCAATCAGAACTCCTGCAAGCGGGCCCACCTCCTCGTTGTTCTTAATCTTGTTATCCAGCGCCTCAGCTTGCTTTAAAACCGCTTCATCGGATGACATGTGGAGAAAGCTCCCGAGTTGGGGCTCGTGGCGACGGAGGCGGTGGAGAAAGGACTTGGCGAGGTCCACGGCTGAGGTCTGGCGTGAGAGTAGGGATTTTCGGGTGGTGAGTATTTGGGAGGGAGGCTGCAGGGGGGCGGCGGCGGCAGCGGAGGTGGCGATGACGGAGGAGTGTAAGCATTTGAGGGTGGTGGTACGGGAAGAAAGTCGGAGGCGCGGGGTCTGCGCTGAAGATAGCATTTTCCGGTGGACTCACAAAAGTGAAAAGGGAGTGAGGTGCAAAAATGAAAATGGATTTCTAGAGATGGAAGGGGATAGGATACATTTTATTTATTTATTTATTTTTCTAAAAATTATCTTTTGAAATATATAATAATTATTTATTTAAAAAATAATATCAATTTCATGTCATTTTTCTACAATTTTGTTTTATAATGAAGAAATCGTGGCGTAAATGAGGAAAATTAATTTTGAAGAGAAAACTCTTTTCTTTATATTTCACTGAAGTCAAATTTCTCAAATGTTTACAAGCACAAAGCCGCTATTTTATACTAACTAGGATAAAGGAAAGCGCTATTTAGTAAACTAACATAAAACGTTAAATGCTAACACCAAACTAATTAATAAATTAATAAAACAACTATCTCTACATATAATTTGAATAATAATTAAGGGATTATTGTATCTAAACTAATTAATAAAGCTGAAAAAGCAACTATCTCTACATATAATTTGAATTAAAATTAAGGGATTATTGTATCTTGTCCCAAAAATATTGTTCACACACTCGATATATTAGGCTATCAACTTGAGTTTCTTATTTGCCTCTTCTTGATTTTAGGTACCTGTGACAAATTTTTTTGGTTTTGTGATGGTGACTACATATTTATTCACCTTATCGAGTTTTCTCGGGAAGATACTCTAATAAACCTAAAGCTGAGAAGCCTTTGGATCAATCAACCAGGGAATAACAAGGAAAACGAGAGGTGTCGGTATTTTTCAAAAGAATTAGCTACTTCTGAAATAAATGTGAGCTTTATTCTTATTGTTTTATAGCCAATATTTTCTTCAAACTGAAAGATGATGAAGATAGAGATTTCCAGGTGCAGGCCAAACAAATTGGTTTTCCTTTTACCGTACTTGGAATACTATTCTCGATCAGATGGGAAATTGTTTGGTGAACTATGGTCTGATTTTGATGTTTCAAGTTGTGACATTCTCTTCATGGCTCGCAAGCTGAAGGTGAGGGACATCATAGTTGTTGCGTGCACGAGAAGAGGCAAAAACAAGCTGCTGCTCAGAATACGTCTGAATCAGACAGCAAGGAATACATGAAGCTTGTGTTGTCGTTGTAATTAAGAGGTTCCGAGTTTGATATCATATGGGTATAAAGTGAACAACGTTCTTTCTTGGCCATGTTTGTTCAATCTGTATTTTCTGGCATAACAGTACTGGTCTGTCAGAGGATACATACCCTAAGCTCAATATTGTACTGGTTCTCTGATCAAATAGCAGGATTCGATTGAGGATTTGGTTCTTGCTTGTATTTATTTGTTTCCTTTTCTATTTTCCTTGTTTCTGTTCAACTTTTCTTTTGTTGCTGATTTTTAGCCATTTGACATGCTGTGGTTTCTAAGTTGGGTGCCTCTAAAAGGTTTGATGTTATCTGCAGTGTTTCGAAGTTTGTTCAGTAATTCCCATTAAGAGTGTCATAACTCATAACCACTCTCAAGAGTCTTGGATGGTTTGCTATTTGTAAACTTGTTCTGAATAATGGTATTCCTTGGTTATTTTTTGGAGTACAAGACATGATAAGCAGACAAATCTAATTACAAATCCATCGACATAAAACGCTAGTTGTACTATATTCGCCCTCTCCATTGATTCATTTCATATCAGTCACTCAAAAAGGGCCAGCCATTTTTGATACAACAACCAGAGGACGAGCAATGTCAGTATATAGCTTCGACCCCATTTAGAACAAGAACACTAAAAAGAAAGCCAACATCAGGAATAAGTGAAAAAAATCAAAGGAGCAAACACTCCTAATCCCATCCTAAACAATTAACTAATACCTCTTAAGCAAAGCAGTCAGATACTGAGACATGCTACACTGCATCCAAAGCTCACTCTTCTCAACATCCCCAACACACTCACTCTCACTCTCACTATCACTGCTGCTCGAAACACATCCTCCCATCCATTCCCCTTCACCAAGCAAAACAAGCGACTCCAAATAGCTGCCCGCATAAAACGAGCCACCTGTCCCAAACACGCAAAGACCATCACTTTCCCTCATAACAGGGTCGTACGAAATCAACCCTAAATTCCCAACTGCCAAAATAACACAACCCGACTTCCCTATCCCGAGAACTGTCCCGGGCCCTCTCCCGAACTCGACATTATACTCTTTACTCCACGTGCTCGAGTCTCCATATTTCTTCATAACCCATATACCCAAACTCCCGCCCCACACACGATCGTCATTGTAATGAACGACAGCAAGAGACCCGTCAATAGCTAACGCATTCAAATTAATCGGCAGCTCGGTTTTCAGGGTTTCGGATAGGGGCATTTCGTCGAACACCTCACGGCTCAAGTCGAACACCATGATTGAGTTTTCGACCTTAGCTTGCCTTCCCGAATCCTTATAAGCAACCCAATGCACATTCCCATTGATAACAACCTGCGACCAGAAATACTCGACCACGCATTTTTCGGGGACTTGGCCAGGATTAATTTTACGCCAATTTTTCGTGCTGAGCGCGAAAACCTCGGCCTCAGGAGGCACGGGGTACCCATTGTCACCTTGCACATAACTTAGCCTCACAACCTTGTAGTCATCGTGCATAGGATCATATCCGAACCCGAGCACGCGAACGTGAGAGTAAGGCTCGTGGCCCGGATTATTGGAATCTGGGAGCACGAATTTCCTTTTGATCGATGGGTTCCAGAGCAGAATCGGGCCGGGCCGCCCGAAGAGGTCGTCCGAGAGGCAGAGCACGCCGTTGCAGGAGCCGACGATCCGGAAATAGAATCGGGCGAGGTTGCGAAAAGGGTACTCGATTTCGGTGCCTTCTTCTTTCAAGTCCTCGCAGTCGAATTCGCGGTGGAGAGAGTAGAGTTCGGTGTGTAGGGGTGTGAGGTATCTTCGGAGGATGGTTTGGGGTTTGGAGAAGAGGATTTGGCGTTGGGTGTGGGCTGAGATGAAATAGGGGCTGGAGATGAGGGAGTTCCACGTTTTGGAGACGGATTTGAACTTGATGAGAGTCTTGGGCGGTAGCCTGGTGAGGGTCTTGATCAGCATTTCTTGAGGTAGGTATTCGGACATTTTTTTTTAATTATTTTTTTATTTTATTATTATTATTTTTTTGGTGGATAGAGGATGATGGAATTTTTGTGTGCTGTAAATGGGGAGTCGAGGGATGTGGAATGAAGGGTTTGTTTGTTAACGTTGTCGGGAAAGGACAGAATGGCTGGTGAGTTTCAGTTCTGGCAAATTTTTGTCAGCACTGTGAGTTTTGAATTTTATGAGCAATTTTGCTTCTACAATGAGATTGGTAAAAAGGAGGATTTTTCAACCTGCCTCACAGCAGTCACGCTCTTTTTAGAGCACGTTCTTGGGTGGATCGGACAACATAATGTTTATCTAGGATTTATCAAAATTAGAGTGTAAAGATAAGAGTACCCTTACTTTTGTTATCTTTGATTTATTCTATATAATAAAATTATCTTTATGTGTTTTTTTACTGGACATATAATAAGATTAAATGTATATTTACAGATTTGACCTTCATATTAAACTCATTTATTTAATCTCACTTTTCACATTGTTGCGTTTTTAATTTATAAATGCCAAAAAATAAAAAATCATATCTAGGTGAACACACGTGAACTTCCACTTCTGTGCACTTGATGTTCATCAATCAATGATATACACGACTATTGAATGCATGTTGAGTTGTGTGGCCATCCAGCAGAGGTCACCAAAGCCAAAAAATGAGAAATTCTGATAATAAAATCCTATGTCAAATCTAGTAACACCACTACACGTTTCATGACTTGCCATTTGGGGAGATCTCCTTCTTTTCTGCTTTACATGAATTGGTATTTTGCCTTTATTTTGTTGGTTGGTAATTTTAATGTATCATTTGTCCAAAAATACCTTGCCTTTCTATTCTTGTTACCAAAATGAATGTCTCTACGATACTCGTTGGACAAAAGAGATGGTATGACAAAAGAGACAGACACTTTGTTGTCGACTTGCTTATAGAGTCACATATGGTTAGTGACTGGATTACTAGTCATCCCGCCTCGACAGTGTCTAATTACTGTCAGTCCTCATGGCCGATTTAGAAGCAAGCAGCGGCGAATTCAGAAATTTTGGAAATTTTTCCTCATAACAGAGTTCATGAAGTCCACTAAAGTCACCCAATTTTAAAAAGTCTTTGACAATCTTAATTGAATATTTATTTGAGTTTTTAAGATATGTTGGGATTTCAAATGAAAAAAATCAAAAATCTTTACAAATATTATCTCCAAATTTAACATTTATAGGATTGCTCGTAAATTAAAAAATCTTAAAAAGTTTCAAATTTAAAAAAAAAAAAAATGAACTTATCACTCAAATCCCAAACGAGTATACTTGTAACATAAAATGCCACGTTAGAGATGCTATTGCGCTGTTTTCCCACCGTTCATAAAATTAATGTGGTCTACAATTTATATTTTTTTTGAATGCCCAAATCAGCCACGTTCATTACCACACCAATCAATCATTCGTCCTAAAATCACTGCTGAAAATCCCTGAACTCCAGAGTAGCAAAATTCATAATGTTGAAAAAAAAATCTAGGACGAGGAAAACAAAAAATTGGACCAATCAAACAGTGGGAAACGGCCACGTAGACTCTTTCTCGACCACATCCGCTCCATCATAAATTACGCACCCTTTAAGTTAAAAATCCCATCCATCTCCTTGCTCACTATCTCGCTAGCTAGAATCACCTCCTTTCAGGTACTGAAATTTATTTATTTTAGCAGAATTTAAGGAATCATATGTTACAAGAATACGTTTTTATTGTTTTTCTTTTTCTCTGTGGGTTCGTGTTATTATGTTGCTGAACTTGTCGGGCTGGATGAGTTCAGTTCAGTTTGGCAATTGGTTAAATAGCAGTTCTATATCGTGAAACTGACTGAGGTCGATTGTGTGTGCTTATGGGGATTTATAATCTCGACTGAGGTCGATTTGCGTGTGCTAATGGGGATTTATAATCTGGATTTCCTACTTTTGATGTCAAATTGAATCTAGCATTGAGTAATTGCTGAAGCTGAAGTTAACCTGTTTGATTTACTTTTTTCTGTTACTAGTTAATTATTTTCCCCCTTTTCCTAGAAGATTAGTGCCTTGGCTAGCTCGTCTTTCTTGAAATCCAATCGTTGTCTGGTTTTTCTTCATTTTTTCTTCCTTTTTGTTCTAACCATATTTTCTGCTAATCTCTTAACGCTGCTAGGTTGGTATGTTTTGACCTAGTATTACAGCCATCCTGAAAATGAAAATTACACTTGTCAACAAAAATTCTCTGCCCCTGAAATCAACTCTTTCTCCTAGCTATGTAGCATTTTTAATTGCAATTTACGAAAATAGGCTATGGATTTGACATAGTGAAAATAACATTAAGTTCTTCTTTCTTGTTTTACTCCTTTCTTCATGTCTAGGGTTATTGTCTAATATCGTTAAGCATCTCTTCATGACGACTGCTTACCTTATTGATTGTTTTTGTCACACTTCAGGGGAAAAAAACATGGCAGCTTTATCAGGATGTGTAGTAGGAAATGGTTTATCTGCTGGTAATACAAGAAACACTTTGAGCAAAGAAATTTACGGTAGGCGGTTGATCCTATCCTCACGCCTTCGGCTACTGAATAATGCATCCAAAGTTGATAACATCAGGGCATCTCTAGATCGAGTAACCAAAGGAGGAAGAAGAGGCTTTCTGAAATTTTTGCTCAGTAATGCTGGGCTTGCTGTGCCTTCGCTACTAAGCAACGACAGAGCCATTGCTGATGACCAAGGTGTTTCCAATTCAAGAATGTCTTATTCCAGATTCCTTGAGTATCTGGATAAGGATAGAGTCAAAAAAGTTGACTTGTTTGAAAACGGAACCATTGCCATCGTTGAAGCTATATCCCCCGAGCTTGGCAACCGTGTCCAGAGAGTCCGTGTACAGCTCCCAGGCCTCAGTCAGGAGCTTCTTCAGAAGTTTAGAGAGAAGAACATCGATTTTGCCGCCCACAACGCACAAGAGGACTCTGGATCCTTTTTATTTAACCTAATTGGAAATCTAGCCTTCCCTCTACTTCTGATTGGGGGTCTTTTCCTCCTCTCAAGAAGATCCTCCGGAGGAATGGGCGGGCCCGGAGGGCCCGGTTTCCCCCTCACGTTTGGCCAGTCAAAGGCTAAGTTCCAAATGGAGCCCAATACAGGTGTCACTTTCGACGATGTTGCTGGCGTGGACGAGGCCAAGCAAGACTTCATGGAGGTGGTCGAGTTCCTGAAGAAGCCCGAGAGGTTTACTGCTGTGGGTGCTCGTATTCCGAAAGGAGTTCTTCTGGTGGGCCCTCCCGGTACAGGTAAGACCTTGCTGGCCAAGGCAATAGCTGGCGAGGCTGGAGTCCCGTTTTTCTCCATATCGGGTTCGGAGTTTGTTGAGATGTTTGTCGGGGTTGGGGCCTCGAGGGTTCGTGACCTTTTCAAGAAGGCCAAGGAGAATGCTCCCTGTATCGTGTTTGTTGATGAAATCGATGCCGTTGGACGGCAGAGAGGGACGGGCATCGGTGGAGGGAATGACGAGAGGGAGCAGACCTTGAACCAGTTACTGACAGAAATGGACGGTTTTGAAGGTAACACGGGCATTATCGTCATTGCAGCCACTAACCGTGCTGATATTCTTGATTCTGCCCTGCTGAGACCCGGAAGGTTTGATAGACAGGTATAATTTTTTCTCTTTGTGACCTGATATTTAATATGGGAATATATGGTTGGGTGAAATTTGAATATTTGGTGCAGGTGACTGTGGATGTCCCAGATATTCGTGGAAGAACAGAGATCCTAAAGGTTCATGGGGGAAATAAGAAGTTTGATTCGGATGTATCGCTTGAAGTGATAGCTATGAGGACACCTGGGTTTAGTGGGGCAGATCTTGCGAATCTCTTGAACGAGGCAGCTATTCTTGCTGGCCGGCGTGGGAAGACGGCCATCTCATCGAAAGAAATTGACGACTCAATTGATAGGATAGTTGCCGGAATGGAGGGAACGGTTATGACTGATGGCAAGAGCAAGAGTCTTGTGGCGTACCATGAAGTGGGTCATGCCATCTGTGGGTAAGTTCAGATCTATGCCTCGTCCTCTTACACCATTGGATGTCATAGTTGCTTATTTACAAGTTGGACAACTTTATTCATCTTAAATTTATTTGAACTTGAATGTGAACAATCTTCTGTTATCCCTTCATTGTCCTCGGCCATGTACTAGATCTTAAGCGTGCACTATCCAATCCTCACTCAGGTCTTTGCTGGTACAGTTTTTGTTGTTTTTCCACTTAGAACTGGAGAATCATAGTTGTAAACAAGAAATGTCTTTGAAGCCTCTTCATTCTTTGACATCACGTGGCTGGGTTGCATGTTATTAGTTATAATTTATACATTTTCTTTCAATATTCACATTCTTGTTACAGTGTGTAGCAACTAATCTAATTTGTTCCTTTTGGCATGGGCAAAGAACCCACTAATAATCATTGCTCATCCATAATACACTATAGTTGAACTATTTTCCTCCATTATCTTGACCTTGAACCACCTGTAATTAATTCTCAGTTCATTGATCAGTACACAGTGTGCAATTGAATTTACCATTTGATAATTTGGGGGTTAGCAACTATCATTGCTCGTTTTGAATTGCAGAACTCTTACCCCGGGGCATGATGCTGTTCAGAAGGTCACCTTAGTTCCTCGCGGTCAAGCACGTGGTTTGACCTGGTTTATCCCCGCAGACGATCCAACCTTGATCTCAAAACAGCAACTTTTTGCCAGGATTGTTGGTGGGCTCGGTGGACGAGCTGCAGAGGAGATTGTATTTGGTGAGCCCGAGGTCACAACTGGTGCATTTGGTGATTTACAACAGATAACTGGTTTGGCCAAACAGGTACGTAAATCATCTTATGTTGTTGCAATCTCATCTCATTAATTTTATTATTTATTGTTCAAAATTCATTATTGTAATTGTTGTTTTCATTCTTTGTCAACATTCTTTCATACTATTTGTTTGTAGATGGTTGTTACATTCGGCATGTCTGAGATAGGTCCGTGGTCGCTCATGGACTCGTCTGCCCAAAGTGGTGATGTGATTATGAGAATGATGGCACGGAATTCAATGTCGGAAAAACTTGCCGAAGATATTGATGCTGCAGTCAAGAGGATCTCGGACGAGGCCTACGAGATTGCCTTGAGCCACATACGAAACAACCGTGAAGCTATGGATAAGATTGTGGAGGTTCTTCTCGAGAAGGAAACAATGACTGGGGACGAATTCCGGGCTATCCTCTCAGAGTTCGTCGAGATTCCAGCTGAGAATCGAGTATCGTCTACTGCGGCTGCTGTTGCTGTATAATTGTGTACACATACTTGTGATGAACTTCATGTCATAGACCGTAATTGATTTTGGTGCAACATACTATTGTTTTGCCTTGTACTAAGTTCAAAGTCCCACATGTTTAATAGTTGAAACGAATACTTGAGCTGTTTTTGCCGTTTTTTCTCAGTCTTTTGGTGTAAAGAGAGGAATGATTTATACAAAAAAATACTTGGTTTTGTTATGAATAAGTGGATTTGCCACTATCTTATCACTATTGCAAAGATGAATTGTATGAAGGAGATCAAATATAATGCCTGAGAATTTAAGGCAAGTGACTGTAATGGGATTGACTTGTAGAGACGGAAGAAAAAAGAAAATTAGTATATATTATATCTGTTTTCTATATTAAGTTATTTATCTTTTCTGCGTTTATAACACATTATCAACACATTATCAACACGGTCGCTCTACCCGCAAAAGGTAAGGAATATGTGGTAAAATGATATTATAAGGTTTTTAATCTATATATATATAATAAGAATTAACATTTACCAAAAATAGTAGCAAAAAAATAGGTTAGAATTTAATGCAGCCTATATAAATAGTATGTTTTATTATTTTTCTTATTTTTTCTTTAAAAATCATACAACATCAAATGTTGTCTTAAATTTTGGGTTTTAGTTTATTTTATTATTTAAAAAATCCGACTAAGATTTATTAAGTGTGTATGTTTTTTTTTCTTAGAAATAACGAACAACATTAAAATTTCGGACTCCATATTTATAAAATCTCAATTCAAAATATAAAAAAAGTTTTAGAAACTCGGTCTTTATATTTGTGCTTTTAAAAAAATATTGAATGTTAAAAATATTCTTTATGCATAATCAATCAATTAATCTTAATTTTTTAAAAATTACGATGTTTATTTTTTCTTAAATTGCATAAAGTAAAAATAATTAATTCATCTTTAGATATATAATTTACAATCTTAATATACTATCATTTGGTGTAGACATTTATTATATGAATCATAGAATATTTTGATTTCATAAAATTAAATATATTTATTGAAAATAAGAAAATTTCTTTGGATCAATCAGGTGATTGAACTAGGTACTACCCAGGTTGATTGAATTACTTTTAAGTGATATTTAAAATAGTAAAAAAAAAAACTTGACACAACTTGGTTGGTCCCAAGTGACTAAGTCATGTATTAGTTCGACCACACAAAATCGATTACTGAACCTGAATACAAAATTTATATTGAAAATTTTATTACGTGAATGTGATGTAGTCCAAACTTTAAATAATCGTATTAACAATACTTTTATGACAACATGTTTAATGATTTATGAAATTTTATATATCATTTTATTAATATTTATGTGAATTAAATAATATTTATTAATGTACAGTAAATATAAGGTTTTCAGAACTGGACCGTCATCGAAATGATCAAGCTATTTTATTAAATCATTTGTGATTTGGTCAGATTTTAATTTATAAATATTTTAATAGATATATATATAGTACTTTTTGTAATAAATTTAAATAAAATGTGTTACTTAGATATTTAAACAATTTATAAATTCAAATGTTTAAACTAATTGATAAATAATTTATAAATCTCTATTTTATTTAAATATGTAATTTTATTTAAAATAATTTTAAATATAACAAAATTCATTTAGAAAATCGTCTCGATCCTACCAGTCCAACCGGCTGGTGTTGACGAATTTGAAAGCAAATATTTTATTCAAGCGAACTAGACTGGTTATAAACCGGTTCTCCGGTCGGACGGCGTCCAACCCGGTTTAATTTAAAAATATTTGATAAATCATGATTAATGTTATTTATATACTTAATTTATAATACAATCATCATAGTGTTTTCCCGTGCATCGCACGGGCCACACACTAGTTTCAAGTTATAATAAATATATCTAATTAATTATTTGTACTTAACACCCACAAAATGGGTTACTCATTAATGTAGGGGGAAATTTATAACTACTTATTTCTTTTCTTGTACCCACAACAAGAATTATCGAGTAATATGGAGTGACATTTTATTTGTTTTGTTACTTGCATTCACTAAAATATTCACCAAGTAATTTGGAGAAATTTTAAGTTATATATGCATGATTAATTAGAATATTTTATAATCAACAAATATTGTACCAATAATATGCTCTTTTTTGGAAATAATAAGGAAAAATCATAACTGATATGCTAGAAAATACGTTTTGATAATAAAGTTAGTTAGTGTGTTAATTTGAGAATAAAGTCAACTATCTCGTGACACAACAAAAGTCAAACCATGCAACATAATTTCGCATAAAAAAAGCCTAAAATGAATAAATCAATTTATACTTATATAATAAGGTGTACCATTTACGAAATTTAGTAAGTTAAAAAGTCAATGCAATAAATGTATTACTATTTTGAGCAACATAATATAATATCATATCTATACTTATATAAAAGGAGATTTTATTTACTACATTTACTATCCAGAAAAGTCAACTGCATTGAATGTCATTACTATTTTGGTATTATAATATTTTATTTATTTAATTGATTTATTTATTTGTTTTATTTTAAAAAGGTAAGTATAATAAGAAAATTTTAATAATAAAAAAATCAAATACCAAATAAAAATGTACACTTTGACTTATTTGATTATATTTGGTATTTGATTATACCAAATATATTCCTATTTAATATATACATTAAATACTTACTAAAATATTTATTTGTTTTATTTGTCAAAGTTAAGTATAGATTTGTTTATATTATCAAATCATAAAAAAATATTAAATCCATATTGTAAAAAAAAAAATCATATAATTTTATAACAATTTTACTACACTATTTAACAATATTTCTTTTTTATTATATAATAAAATAATAATTAAATATTATATGGTGAACAACAATAAGTAAAACTGTTACTTTCTCTTATATCAAGGGATAAATTTATATGCTAAAATTAAATTTTTATTAGTATAAATGTTTTAGTGAGATAATATATTAATTATTTTACAAGCTAGCCCTAACATGCTCATATTTAATGTTTTAAAAGATGTAGAAAAAAAACTTATAATAACTCTATTGTTTTTTAGACTTAAACGTTGATTAAAAGAGGTAAAAATTCCTAATTTTTTAGACTTAAACGTTGATTAACACCATAGATTGAGAGTTTATATTTAGTAAAATTCCTAATTGTAATAAAAAAATTAATTTTTGCTATATTTTAGAATATCTTTAAATTCATTATAAAAAAAGAAAAAAAAAAAACTACAATGAAAAAAGCAAGTCAGCTATATATCGATTTGTTGTACTCCTCAAATCACATTCACAATTTGGCTACAAAGAAAGGAAACTCATTGATTAAAATATTATTTTATCAGTAGTCTTAATTTACAAGAGACTTTAAAGACTCCACTTGAATATTATAAAACTTTTGTTGAACATTGTACAATTTTCTTGCGTATTATAAACTTTTATTGAATATTACATCTTATAATATAATATTCTCCAAATAAATATATCCCGTGCTTCGCACGGGTCACGTACTTTATATATCCCGTACATTTTTCTTTATTCATGTATATAATTATAAATCTGGATAAATAGCTTTAAAATTGTGCACTCCGTGCATCGCACGGGCTCTGTACTAGTGAAATTTTAAGAGACACAAGAACCAACGAGAACCACTCGGTCAACCACAGCGGGGGCAGTAATGGAAATTTAGACTTCGAACCAAAATTTGCAACCAAAGCATGGGCTGACTTTTGTCACTGGCCTAATCCAAATTCCGCAGTTCGAGATAAAAAAAAAGCCACAAAAAGAAAAGACAACCATTAAAATGAGAATAAATAATACGCTCTTCATAAAGACACAGTCGAGTCGCTTTTTCTCATTTCCTTTTGTTGTGCAAGCTCTGTGTTAGCTCCGGCAGCTTTTGTACTCTCTCCAATGGCGCACCTGCTCCGGGTCGGGATTTCGGGTCGCCTATCCAGTACCGGCGTGGCCGGAGCCTCACGATCCATGTCCACCGGGTGGTGGCGCCACGTGGAGCCTGCCCCCAAAGATCCCATCCTCGGCGTCACCGAAGCTTTCCTCGCCGATCCTAGTCCAGACAAAGTCAACGTCGGCGTGGTCAGTATTCATTTCTTCAATTGCTCCGAACCAATCGAATAGTAAATAGCGTAATCCAAGGATGCCCTGAAAGTTGACTTTATGCTGCAGTGCCTTGAATTTGTTCATTTTTCTCCTCTCTCTTCTTTTTTTTTTTCATTTTCTTGCAGTTGTTAGCTTTTTTCTCCTTGTTGGCCATCTGGCATACTACAGTGTAGACCAATGGTTTTGGTTGAATTCTGTTAGACTTTCTGAATCCGGAAATTGCTTTTGGGTGTTTTGGGTGCTTGCAAACTTTAGCTCAATTTGATTCTGTTTATTTCATTGTTTGGATTTCCTTGTAAATACTGTTGAAATTACGAGTCTTTTGTTCTTCTTCTTTAATCATGTGTTCTAGTCCTGGTTTTGTGTATCTGTTCTGTTGTGATGACAAAGGGTGCATACCGTGATGATAATGGAAAACCAGTGGTTCTCGAGTGTGTCAGAGAAGCCGAGAGGAGGATAGCCGGCAATCTAAACATGTAAGTTCGTTTTTTTTTTTTCCCTTTTTACTATAATATAACTCCCTTATTTTCTGGTGTGTTTGTTTGTTCTTGTGCGCGTTACATTCGTGGATTTCATTTTTTTCTTGTTTACCCATCGCAATATAAATGAAACTATCATTCTTTATCGGTTTTTTTTTTTCGGTTGTCTCGTCTAAAATTATTAAATACATCATTTGTATAGAAACTTATATTTTTCTACTGCTTTTGTAATATGTACATATGTATATTGAGACCATGGAGTATTGATTTGGATTGATAGTTTAAATTTGAAAATCTCACATTAAAGCCGTAGGTAGTTGTTAGGTAGTAGAAGATAATGGAGTGATGAGAAAACTTCTTGGTGTGCATTTCAATGCATTTGTCTACAAGTTGCAGGTACACAGTGGTCCCTGGGTTTAAACCTTTAATGTATTCTCTTTCCAGTTGTTATTTTCATACTCCCTTTCGGCACTATTGCGTGTGGATTCATTGATAGTCTTTTAACTTTTGAAATACATATATGCCAGAAAAATCAAATTCCTGATCATGATAAGTATTTTATACAAGTTAAGGTCATCATGAGGGTGGTGAATTCAGCAAATACTTGATTTGCTGAAACATCAAAAGGAGTTCAATTACTTATGATTCGAGTGTCAGTATACCAAGTAACACGTGAAAATAATTAGAGAAAGGTTTTCTATATTTAATCAGGCAAAATAAGTGGTTGTTTTCACTTTGCGTTCTGGTTGGAAAACATGTTTAAAATCAATAAGCTGTATCATTCTTTGTACTGTAGACAATTGCATAACTGTAGATGGTACATTACAAGAGGAACCATGAAACTACAGGACAGAATGACATTAACTATCTTGTTGTTGAGTTATTTATAAGATGGATCAGAAGCAGAAACCTGAATATAGAACTGCTTTTGCTGTCATTTTCAGCAAGCTAGAAATTATTTATGAGAGGTACTTACAGTTTTGTATCTGCTAGTNAACGATTGTGTACAATTTCTGTTCAGTTGGTTATCCCCAGATTTAATTTTTAAATGTGGCTTTCTGAGTTTATTCATTTTCCATTTGGAATTAAAAACTTTTTATTCAGGGAATATCTTCCCATGGGAGGAAGTGTGAATATGGTAGAGGAGACTCTAAAGCTGGCATATGGTGAAAATTCTGAGTTGATCAAAGATAAACGAATCGCGGCTGTGCAAGCTCTTTCGGGAACTGGTGCATGCAGGCTCTTTGCCGACTTCCAAAAGCGTTTTTCCCCTGATTCGCAAATCTACATTCCGGTTCCTACCTGGGCCAAGTAAGTTCAACTTTCCAAGATAATTTCTTTGTGCTCCTTAAGCAATTTGATACTTCTCTCTAGATAATTTGCCTTTTTGCCTTGCATTCATCTTAATTACTCTTCGTTTAGAACTCTTTCAACATTCAAAAATCTATTCATGATTTAATGTGAGTGAAATTTCTGACAGTCACCATAACATCTGGAGAGATGCCCATGTACCTCAAAAAACATTCCATTATTATCACCCAGAATCAAGGGGTTTGGACTTCTCCTCGTTGATGGATGATGTAAAGGTACGTGTGACTATCATAACCAAGAACCGAGTTTATTCTGTAACTTAAAATTGACAAAATTTCAAACTAAGATTTCCAAATTTAAATGATTTTTGGGACTAACATCTAATTAGGTTTTGTAATTGAGACCTAATTTTGGTAATTCTTAATCCCTTATGTGTATGACGTGTGTAGATTTAACTCAGTTGTAGACTCAAAACCTATTCTTAGAATTGAAATGTCTTGTTAGTTATATAATGGTAAGATAATACCCCATCAGGTATGTTGTAGATAAACAATAGCTAACAATTCCAGCAGCAAGTGAACTCTCTGAACTGGGGACCAGTTGCCATATTCAACTCAGAATTTCCATATTAACTGGCCAGTCGACTTATTGGACAATCTTACATGTTGTGTCTGTTTATGCTAAAGTGAAATAATTTCTACTGAGCAAGTTTGAAGTCAATCTATGTTTTATGACTTTAAGTGAAATGTCGGGGAGAAGTATGTCAGAATGGATGAAGGCGAAAATCATTTATCTAGATGTTTAAATAAGATGAATGGAATGTCANCGCATAAATAATTAATAAAGTTTAGATTTATGAAAAAAAAAAAAAAAAAAAAAAAAAAAGAAGAAAGAAAGAAAGAAAGAAAATACTGTTGAAACTTTCGAACCATTAATTTTCGAACCATTAATTTCGAACCATTAATTTTCGAAGCGAAACACTAAATTCAAAGTTGCTTCTAGCCTTCTACAATGGAACCTAATTTGATTTTAGTCTCCTTATTGATTTTAAATTTAGAAAGCCTAGTTTGAAATAATTGTACTTAACAATATCATTATTTGATTTATGAAGGATCATCATGAAATTCTGATTGTTTTTTTTTTCCTTTTATTTTCTCATTGTTGGTGTATCTGTTGCTGTACACCTGTGTCTGTGTGTCACAGAATGCACCAAATGGGTCTTTCTTCTTGCTTCATGCTTGTGCTCACAATCCAACTGGAGTTGATCCTACTGAAGAACAGTGGAGAGAGATCTCACACCAATTCAAGGTAACATCTCTTATTTGTTTTTGTTTCTGGGCTGTACTAGGATGTTGCTTTAGTTTTGACATATTTCTCACCTTATTCATTGAATATGTATCAGCGCGCATAGTTTTATTCACTGCTAAATACTGAGATAATGTTTAACATCTTCAGGTTAAAGGACATTTTGCCTTGTTTGACATGGCTTATCAAGGTTTTGCAAGTGGTGATCCAGAAAGGGATGCCAAGTCTATCCGGATTTTTCTCGAGGACGGCCACCTGATAGGTTGTGCCCAATCATATGCAAAAAATATGGGACTTTATGGTCAAAGAGTTGGCTGCCTCAGGTAATCCTCTGGCTAGATTTACTACAATAGTGTATTTACAATGGATTTTCGTTTGCAGAGTGTATATTCCCTTCTTTCCTTTTTTAGGATATAGTACAAAACTCATCATGCTCTTATTTCTATACATTCTTTATCGATTGCAGTGTGGTTTGTGAGGATGCAAAACAAGCTGTGGCGGTGAAAAGTCAGTTACAGCAGCTTGCAAGACCTATGTACAGTAATCCTCCTGTTCATGGTGCCCTCATTGTTTCCACCATTCTTGGTGATCCAGATTTGAAGAAATTGTGGCTGAAAGAAGTAAAGGTAATTTACTAACTTCCTTCGGGTCGAAACAGAAGCACGTGTTTGGTTGTTTTTTTCTTTTTTCTTTTGTTTTTTGTTAAAGTTAGTCCATTCCATGCATGCGTGTGTGTCGAGGACTTCTTGTCAGAACGATTTCATATATTGTTTCTTGTGTTGCACGTATTTCTTGTACATCTTTCCCAGGGAATGGCTGATCGCATCATCGGGATGAGAACTGCTCTTCGAGAAAATCTTGAAAAACTGGGGTCACCTCTTTCGTGGGAGCATGTAACCAAGCAGGTCTATGCAATTCATTGTGCTCTTTTTATCCTGTTTGTTAAAAATTTCGTCATGAAGCTCTTAACAAGTTGATTGATTGATTGATTGATTGCAGATTGGCATGTTTTGCTATAGTGGAATGACACCTGAGCAGGTCGATCGCTTGACTAACGAATTTCACATTTATATGACTCGCAATGGCCGCATTAGGTAAACATCTCTCTCTCTCTCTCTAAACCTCTCTCTCTGATGATTATAATCATGTGACAAATTGTATTACAGTATGGCTGGAGTCACTACAGGCAATGTTGGTTACTTGGCAAATGCTATACATGAGGTGACTAAACATTCTTGAGATTTGTTGCACGAACCTACAGACGTACTTCATCTCATCCTTGGAATACCTCAGAAATAAATAAAGAATTTTGCTCAATTCTTCACATTTCTTGCTGTATCCCCAGAAATGGATTGTGTACGGCTTTTGAACAAAAATAAGATGTTTTGTTAATCAAGAAATTGCAACTCTCTTGACCATCAAAATATTCACATTGCCTTACAAATTTTGGCTGCCGTTTATGGGCAAACTTGTGTTGTTATTTGTTAAACTTGTACTCCTTCGGGTGAAGTTAATATTCCAAATGATTTATCAATCTTGAGTTCTTGTGTGCCTTTTATTTGGTACCATCTAGTCCTCTTACATGATAAATTGTAACGTTTTAAACTGTAAGTTTTCTATTACATGATAAATTGTAAAGGGATGAATTGTAACGTTTTAAACTATTAAGTTTTCTATTACATGATAAATTGTAAAGGTTGGTTGTAACATATCAAATCATTGTAACATATCATATTAACAACAAAAAAATAAAGAGTCTCGCATGGCTTGCAGAAGTCGGCTTAACCTGTCTCACATGATTTGCACAAGTCTTATTATGTCCATTAAAAAGTTTAAAGTATTGGTCATATATATCTTTCAAATTTACTGGTATTTCCGGGCATTTGTTTGTAAGAGCATTTCCAGAGGTTAGTTATAAATAGACGGCCTTCTGAATGGAATGACATCTTAATAAATATGTCTCTAGTGGTAAATGTGTATATACAATATACGTGTTTTTTTTTTTTTTTGTTGTTCTATAAAATACTATAAACAGTATTTTAGTGATCATAGTTTCATCAGTATTTTTTTTTTCGAATAGCTTTTTGAATTACCTATGCCCATCACCGATATTCTTCAGGTTTTGATATTCTTCAAGTTTTTTAAGTATTTTTGTATGAGTAAATAAAACATGTTAACACTGTGATTTATTTTTCTTTTTCTCTTTTATTTGCTATATTATTGTATGTTAATGTATAATTTTAACAAACCATACACCATTAAATTTATAATATAAATTTAGAAGTGTATCAATTTTTTTATTTTATTTTTCTGTAAATTAATTTGCCTTTTGATATAGTGTGTACAAATAAATACCAACAAACTATAATTTAATCAACAACTAAGATTATAAATTGAAAATTTTCTTCAAATTTATTTAATATTTTAGTAAAAACTAGTATTTTAGTATATACTAGCATTTTACTAAATTTATTTAGTATTTTAATAAAAAAATTCTTCAAAAAATAATGACTCATCAAGTCTCAAAGATGATATTCGTGATTTTTTGAAAGTAAGGTGATATTCAGGTATTTTTGTGTTAAGTATTTTTGTATTAGTTATATATTTGAATTAAAAATAAAAAATAAAAAAGATAAATATCATTCCGTCTAGACAGACTTTCAGATGTAGAATGACTTCTGAATGCCACATAATCAGATGTAAAAAAACTCACTGAAGGATGTTTTCTACCATAAAGCCTCTATAATTTTACAATTGACATGCTATTGGAGATGCTCTAAGTAAACTTTGCGAAGGATGTCAATTAACATACTATTGGAGATGCTCTAAGTAAACTTTGCAAATATTTGTTTGTAGAGTAAATTATGCAAATTTTTATTGAACTTATCTTCTAAATTTTACATAATATTTATATTAATCAATTTGTTTTTAAGTGTAGAAACAGAAATAAAAGTCTAAATATAAATACACAAAATTAGTCTAGGATTGTGGAAATTGAGATCTCAGGTTTCGAAACACCAAAAATCCAACGCTCGACTGAAAAAATTCTACGATAGTGTAGTTGGATATAATTTATTTCTTTTTGTGCGGAATATTTTTTTAACTAGAATTGTGATTAGGTATAAAAAAATTCTAAAAAAATTTCCTATTCATTTATTTATTTTTTCTTTCAAACTTATCAAACAATTACAAAATATAATTCAACTATTATTATATATTTTTCAATAAAAGTCACTATTTATACACCCACATATTTTTATCAACAAATTATATTATGTCAATAATTTAATATTACATCTACTTTAATCATATTTTATTTCATATATACTCACAAACATAGAGATAATTCATTCTTTCATCCATATTTTGGTACTTTTTTCATTACTTTACCATTAAGGCAAAAAATTTTTTCAAAAAAAAAAAAGAAAAAGAAAAGGGAAACTACTTCTTTCATCACTTTTATTATTGACATTTTTTTTTTTCAAAATAATCTAATATTCAAGTCTAAATATATGAATTTCATATTTAAACAAAAATACTGGAACACACTTCACTTCCAAAAGTAATATTTAAATTTTATAATATTATATTATATAATGATAGAAATAATTATACAACGTGGAAAATTAGTTAATTTTTTGTAGATCAGAATTTTTGCAAAAAAAAANAAAAAATAAAAGGAGACGAACACTAAATAAGGAGACTTGTTTGCAAATTGAACAACTTACAGGTGACGTTAGAGAAACAATACAAAAGTTACAAAACAAATGGGAATTACACAGGAAATCTTCTTGGCTTCTACGCCGTTCAAGAGAATCTGCTCACACTGACATGAAACGACCAACATTATACTCGATCCTACACATCGAAATTTAGGCAGAACAAATGTACAAAAGCGATTAGATACGTGTACAAGAGGTGCCAACTTAGCTTGCAGTTAAACACAGTTCATAGGGAGCATCATCAAAGACCACTGACTTGGAACGAAAATCACACGAACATGTTATATCACATTAATCGACTAAAATGAAAAGTGGATGACATCAGGTTCCGTTTTGTTCATCATGTCCCAGCAGGATGGAGAGAAATAAAATTCACACCGGCTTGTCGGCGAATATGCTCGGGTATTAACTTGTTTATCAACTCAAGGGATGCTCCTGCTAACTGCCATCATGAAAAACTTTGATGTTAAATACAAGGAAAGAGCTCGAAATTTCTTGACACTGTAAATAAACTCGGAGTTCCAAAATATTTAACTGTTCATTTGCCTCATCCCTAAAAGCAACCGTATGTTGTTGACCAACATGACTTCATTGAAATTGGGAAAAGAAGATGCATATGATTTTTGCAGAAAATGCAGAGAAGGAAAAGAGATTAAAATAAATCAGGAGGGGAACAAGTCAGAAAGCATACTTCCTGCTTAAAATTGAAAAGAGGGGGGAAAGGGCGGCCGTTTGGGAGGCGGGCATTGGGCTCCCGGAGCTCATCAAAGAAAGGATGCACACACGCTTCTAGCTGCAAATAGGAAAAACGAAAAAACAGAAGATTAATGAATTCACTTAATCAATCATCGGAGTTACGTAAATTATCAAATTATACAAAATATCAGAAACCAAAATTTACGGAAGATTTGACAATTTCTGCACCATCTAGCACTTTACAAGGGACAATCAGAAAATGACATTTAAGGGTAACACGTGATAACAGAAACTTATAGGAGAGTAATAAATGAAACATACTGCTGTGCAACGAAGATTTGGTGAGTACTGAAGCAGCCGTGAAGCGAGATCAATGGCCTCAGGAGGCATCCGCTTATGGAAAACCTGAGACGTGCCCATAGTTTAAGATAATGCATATGAATATACAACACAGAGGAAATAAATGGCAACACAATCATGTACCTTATGCCATGGATGGGCTTTAATCTGGGGAAATCTGAAATCAGTGTAATTCGGGTTCATGCATCTAATTTCTTCTCGAGTTGGAGTACCAAGAACCTATTTTATAAAGTTGAGAAATAAGTTATGGTATAACACGATTTAAATTTTATCCCAAAACAAAAGTAATGTAAATAGAGCAAGGCTGCCAAGGCACACCTTGATAATCTCTACAAGTTGATCAACTGCATTTTCTCCCGGGAAGAGAGGCTGTCATATCATTGCACAAAGAAAGCATAAGAAAAACATTTATTTAACTCGAGCATCAAAACAGCAATGGCACAAAACCTGGCCCAAGAGTAACTCAGCAAGGACGCAGCCAGCTGACCAGATATCAATTGATGTTGTATATTCAGTGGCACCAAATATAAGTTCTGGAGCCCGATAGTAACGAGAGCAAATGTAGGATATATTAGTTTCACCCTTCACCTGATATTATCAGTTTAGCGGATAAGAAAATGTCTGAAACTATCAGCGCAGCATGCAGAGGCCATCGACGTATTAACGACCAATAATAATACCAAATTCATAGGGTCGATTACACATGCGTGGGAATACAGTTATCTTCATTGTCACCGTGATTCTTATTCCTGCTTGTTCAACTTCTATAAACTTTTTATTATTTGCTAACTGAATACAGTTGATTACTTATTCACCCATCCAAGTCCGTCTTAGATAAACTTTTGATAGGTTTCCAAGAAATGTAAATGTTTTGCAATTCAAGATCAAATGAATTCGATATATGCAAATGAACACTCAAGCGGTCTAACTGAAAGAAAGAGCCACTCCTTGAGAACTAGTAACAAGTTTCTGGCTGATCAAATAATGCAATCAACTTACAAGAACTTTAGCACTTCCAAAATCACAAATCTTGACCTGATGAGTAAGAGGATCTACCTGCAGATGATACACAGTATTACAATGTATGAGAGAGAGAGAGAGAGAGATAAACAGTTCAACTGGTCCAGTCACTTACCAATATATTTTGAGGCTTTATATCCCTATGGGACACCCCAGCAACGGTATGCATATACGCAAGCCCTCTAAATAACTGAAACACAAGTGCAAGCATTGAGTTGGATTCTTAGATATACTGAATCCTACTCAGAGATAGAAAAACCAGGACAGATAAGAACCTGATAGGTGTACAGTTTGACATAGATGAGTGGCATTCTCTGATTTGAATTGGTATAATGCTTTAGAACCTTATACATAGTCTCAGGTACATAATCCATCACCAAATTAAGGAAAAGCTCATCTCTGGTTGTCGTAGAAAAGAAACAATGTTTAAGAGAAATCACATTTGAATGATCCATCAACCGCATTAACTGCAGCTCGCGATTTTTATATCGTCTATCCTGCAGAACCTTCTTTATGGCCACAGTCTCTCCCGTTTCTAAGCACTTTGCCTGAAGAAGAATCGCTTCAGTTGGTTATCTCCAAAAGAAACAGTTCAATAAACAAATCTGATCGTGTCATGATCACATTACCTGGAAAACTATTCCAAATGATCCTGTACCGACGACACGCTCAGCCTTGTAACTAATTGTCTGCTTAAAGTACAATGAGCAAGCTCTTAGCTCCCATTAAGAAGATTACCAAGACAATAATTAAATATTTAATTAACCTCGTATAATCGAGTACCATTGTAAGCCCTCAACTTATTCCTAGTTTACACTAAGCCTTGTGATCGTAAATTAAGTCATTTCGTTTAACACGAAGGTCCATAAAATTTAAAACCCAAAAATATAATTCAGCACCCACTCTTTTCGGCTCCCCATTTTTCCCTCCAATAGTAGTGGAAATAATGTGGCCGGTGAGTGGATCATTCCCATCAACCGCAGACCCTGTCATCTCCTGTATTACAAAGCAACCCAGATCGTCAATGTCTGGTCAGTGATCATATTTACAAGCAATGAATCAGAAAAAAACTAACTCAGTTAAAGAATCATAAATTGGCTAAGGTAGGTGGAATAAGGAATTGGAAGAAGAAGAACAACAATTTAAGAGATGCAATGCTTACAACCAAAAAAGGCATTGTCTTCTATGAACTAAGGTTTTAAAAGAAAGCATCACAAGCGAGAAATCTTGAGAAGGAAGCAAAGAGATTACTATTATGAAGAAGCAATCCACAACTCAGAATATTTGAAACGTTCACCTAAAGTTAAAGTAAAGCAGGTAAAGGATATCAAAGAAAAATACCGAAGTTTAGGAAAGGGCCAGTAACTTCAATTTGAAAATACACAGGCACAAAACTTCAATAAAACATTAAAAAGCACCAAGCTCTACTAACAATAAAACTTGAAGAAGGTATCACCGAATTGAATTCATTTGATCTCTAAAACTGAAGCAG